TCTCATGAGAAATTCCGTCAAAGGACTTGCTTAGAATTAGTAGAGAAACTAGTCCAAGAAGAATGATGGGCGTCACTCTCTCACACATCTACCAAGGGACCCACGCTATGCTGGGTGACTAGGAAGTTTCTCACCAAACAATCAGATTGCCACTCACCTCAGTCAAATCCTCCCCCTTTGAACTCGCCCAACTCAGCCACAGGAAAAACGCCTAACCCAAGGACTTCATACTCCGTTTGGCTACTACTACTATGCTCTGGGAGCCTTCATCCTCGCAAACACCTTTGCTTGCCTTTCACGACAAGGCGATCTTGAGCCTGCTATGCCAGTTGTTGACCTAATAAGATAATTCGCAAACTATAAGTCCATCTCCTCTAGACTCACCTAGAGACTCGCCCTACACCAACTCTTCTTGCTTGAGCTTTCCCTATGATAGACAAGTTGCCAGGCCTTTGACTTCGTTCTCTTGCAACCAATCAAGAGGTGACATGTGCTCTAGATTGGTATGTAGCATTGTATGAATATTCTAAGTAGCCTATATTTTTATTTTTTAATGTGTAGTTTTTCCTATTGCTCTTAAAACCTTATAAATAAATGGTGATGAGGAGCAATTTTGAGACTTTTACCTTCTTCTTTGGATCATTTGGGCCTCTGCTTGAGTCTCACTTCTTGTATTTTTTTGTTAAAATAGTGAAGATTTTGGCAGCATACTCTCCTTCTCTCAACTCTTTCTATTCTTCATTCTCACTATCAAGTTCTAAGCTCACCAAACAAATCTGCTAGTAAAGTCTGAGTATCTTTCACCAAACAAATATGAATTCAACATTCATAATTTAACGTTAATCTTCAAGTTATACCATTGAAAATACCTAATTTATTAAGGAATTTGAATCTTCTCTAACTTTCATCATAATTACAAAAATTCAACTATTTAATTTATTTTAGATGATTGAAAATTATTATTTTAATTTTTAAATAATTCCATGGATTTAAATTCATCCATCCAAAGCGCATAAGGTAATTAAATTTAATAAATATATTTTACAGTTATAATCAAAATTCCTCTTTGAAATGAATATATATATATATATATATATACACACACACATGGAAAATATATATATATATATATATATATATATATACACACACACATGGAAAATATATATATATATATATATATATATATATACACACACACATGGAAAATATATATATATATATATATATATATATATACACTCTCTCTCTCTCTCTCTCTCTCTCTCCTAGTTAATTAGAAACAAGTGTGTGTTATTGGGGAATTCCTGTGCAGCTTCCTACTATAGAGCTGATTCTGGACAAGCTAAGGGTTGTGGGATTCGTCTTCCTCTTTGTTTTCTAGCTCTTGCATGTAACTGCAAATGTTGCTGATTAATGGAGGCCTTAGCTCTTAGAACTCTTTCACAAGTGAAAATGGTTTAAGACAAAATCATACTTGTAAAGCTTAAAGCTTGAGCTCCATTTGTCTCTCATAATTGTTGTCCCATCCACAATATTTTCTATATTTTTTTCGGCTTCGTTTGGGACGGTTTTCTTCCTACTTCTTAAAGCATTTTTGTACTAGAAAATCATTTTAAGAAGCAGTAAAAAAAATGTCTCAAACGAAACCTTAATCTTTCACTTCTTTTTTCAGCTGGAAATCTTTTAATAATCATACAATATTATCTGAAAAAGTCAACCAATAAAGTTTTGGAGCCAAAATTTTTTGGCTTTTTAATTTTGATATATGATTGGGATTTCTTATTTATTGTAAATATTTGATTGAGATTTATAAAAGTAGGTTAAATCCTTGTCAGGGGATGTGAATTTTCTGTTGATTTTGAAAGATATCATAGCTTCATGTTGTAAATATTTGATTGAGTATTGTTGCTGCTATAAATAGATGTTTTGTGGGGAATGTGTTCAGAAACCTGCAACAACAAGCAAATAGGAAGAAAAAAGGGTAAGTAAGGCTTCCTTTGATACGGTTTTCTTTAAAAACCAGTAAGAAAGCTACTTTAAGAAGCAATAAAAAAGCCGTCCCAAATGAAGCCTAAGTCAAGTTATATTCATTAATAGAAAGGTGAAGAGAGAACACATTCAATATATACCAAGACTTTATTTGTGACAGCTTTTTTACTGCTTCTTAAAGCAGCTTTATAGTACAAAAATTAATGTTTTTATACTAAAAAATTATTTTAAGAAGCAGTAATTAAGAAAGTTGTCCAAAACGCAGCCTAAATCTTAATATTGATAGTATGATGGAATCATGCATTTTGGACTTCAGTATGTCCATTCAATCTTCCTCCAACAAGGAACTAATGTCCAATTACTCTTCAAGGGGTAATCTTTATTGATGATGAACCTTTAAATATTATAGGTTTGATTCCATGATGATAAAAATACAAATGGGAAAGCTTGAAAGTTACACAAAGTGAGAAGCATCCTTGGTCATAGAAGAAACCTAATACTTATAGGTCAACTCTTTAAAGAAGGGTTCAACACTACTTTAACAATTGATACCTTCAAGGTTAACTAAGGAGCAATGGTATAGCACAAGATAACAATATTATCTTCTTTAATAAATTACAATCATATGAAGAGTGCGAGCCATAAGAGCTCAATTAAGTGTTGATATAGACACCTTACACAAATAATTAAGCTATGTGAGTGAGAGAATAATCTCAACATCTTTCACTCCCAATGATAACAAATCTTTTGCGGTGCCATTTAATAATTTCTATTGGCCTAATTTTAGCTAGAGAATTAATGATTATTTTATTGCGCACTATTTTATTTTATTTTTCTCCTATCTATTTCAATGCAAGCCAAAAAAATCTCTTCACAAAATTCTTCCTCAAAGCTAACTTTGCCTAAGATTCCTTAATTAGATTCTCATTAGTAATATTATTAACTAATAAATAATACTTTTATATAAAAAATATGACACTACTCACATTTGACAATTAGAGGAAAGCCATCAATGTGACAATTGTCAGCAAATCATTCACCTTCATAAAAAACTTTCATACTTCATGTAGGGTCGTATAATTAATAAAATCTGCTTAATTCTGCTTCATTTTGGACAACTTTTTTACTGCTTTCTAAAGCAGTTTTCTAATACATGCAAAAAATTCTACATAAGTTTTTTTTTTTTTACTAAAAAGTTGCTTTAGAAAGCAATCCCAAATAAAACTTAAACCGTTTAGTTAAGAAGAAAATTACGCTTATGAAAAATATATATAATATTAGTATAAAATATAAATCTTGAGAACAAAATAATAATTTTCAATTTTGAAGAGAATATCATTATCATTTATCATGATGAATATGTAGCATTTTACAAACTTGAAATACATGCAACCAATAGTTAATTTTATTTAAATATTTATTTTTGCTTAGTAAAAAGATTATGTCAATTTCAATTTTGCTAATAATTTGTACTTTATTGCAAATGCTTCCCTCTAACTTCATTCACCTTAGGCTGACCAATTCTATGATATCTAAATTACAATTAAGTCTTAATCAATTGCCCCTTCTTCAAACTAGCAAACTGATAATTCTCATATTTGAAATGGTAAATAACTAAAAAAATAAGTGTTATCTACTTCCAAAAAAAAAAACAACCCTAATTTTATGATGCTTATGTAGAGAGATTGGAAATTTTCTTCATTCAGATTTGATTAGAGGCCAATTAATAATAATTAAATACCTATAGTGTGATATATAATCCATGAATTATAATCATAATTACACCCCAACAATCCTAGCAAACAAGAACAAAATGTTGTGAGAGCCCAAACTCTTAATTATCGAGATATTGTCCACTTTGACCTAAGAGCCTCACAGTTTTGTCATGTTGGTGTAACTTCCCAGGAGGTCACCCATCCCATAATTTCTACGAGATGAACACGCTTAACTGTGAAGTTTCTAAAAAAAAATCAAACCATTATATCAAAATGGGCGTCGATGTTTAAGATTTTAGCTTCTTTTACTTAAGAGATTTCATAGATGTGATCATAAAGTCTAAACCCTAAATAAATCTGACACTACACTACTAGGACATGCTCTCACAATCGAAAGGTCTTGGCTCAAGTGATATATTTATTTGATTTTAATTGAGAGGCCTATTGGATTATTATCATTCAATGCAACTAATTATGATTTTTTTCTGAATTTTAGTAAACCTAATATTTGTAATTGGCATTGTGCCCACATTATATGTGTAACTGACCTTATGTTAATCACATATCTATATTGATCTTAAATATAACTAATAAAATATGTTAAAAGAATTCTATCCTCAAAAAATAAAAAAAAACTATATGAGGGTTTGAATAATTTGCCTAATTAAGATAAAAAAGCCCATTTTCTCCTCATTTTAAGGCATTTTATTATAATATTTTCAATCTTATTAACCGTTTAGGTTAGGTGCAATTAAATGATAATAATAAAAAAAAATTCAAAAAATCATAATCCAATTTTCATAAAAATTAATATTAAGAAAGTATATAACACAAGCCAATTTTTTCATAATATTATTCTACTTATTAAATTTCTAATAAATTTCACAATAAATATCTTCATTATTTCTAAATATTTCTACCAATCAAAATTACTTAATTTCACGCCGTTTAAATACACTAAAAATAAAATAAAATAATTTAAAATATTATAATCAAATTTTAATTTTTATAAATATTAAATCTTTGAATGTTGAGACTCATCATAATAAATTTTAAGCATATTATCCTCACATAAATTTTTTTATAAAAAAATATTATATATAAATTCTTCAACTTATCTCAATCAAAATTAAACCAAAATAAAAATTGATCCTTTTTAAATGTTAAATCACATAGATCCCTCCATATGCTTTGCAAAGATACCCTCACCCAAAAAAAAGACCAAGTAAATGACATCCACCCACTAAAAACTGATTCAAACCCCTCTTCTTCCCTCCATTATAAATACCCATCCTCTCTTCTCCACCGCCGGCAGCCAATCCCCCAATCCATCCATGGCTAGGAAGCGCAAATCCCCCAAATCCGACGATGCTGACAACAACTCCTCCTCTACCGCCGCCGCCGCCGACCAAACACCCACCCATCGAGTCCGAAAACGCTTCGTTGGCGTGCGCCAACGTCCTTCCGGCCGTTGGGTCGCTGAAATCAAAGACACCATACAGAAAATAAGAGTCTGGTTAGGAACTTTCGACACTGCCGAAGACGCCGCCCGTGCCTATGACGAAGCCGCTTGCCTTCTCCGCGGCTCCAACACGCGCACCAACTTCTGGCCTTCCACGGCCACCACTCCCGCTCTCCCTTCCCGCATCACCGCCCTTCTCCTCCACCGCCTTAAGGCCAGAGCCTCTGGTTCTACCATGGCTGAAGAAGCCCAAACACAGGGCCAAGGCCAAGTAACACCTTTACAGTACGAGAACCCGCAGGCGCCTCAGCCTCAGGTTAAGGAAGAAGAAGAAGAGGAGGAAGAAGAAGAAGAGAGTGGTAATGATGAAATACCATTCGAGTATTTCTTAAACGAGCCGTGTGAGAGCACTGACGTTGTTTCAGGGGAGCTGGAGGAAGAAGGGGAGGAAAAGATGGGAGTTGATTTAAACGAGATGGATTTTCAGTATGGAGGGAACTATTACTCTCCTTTTGAGATAGCAGAGGGGATGGAAGAAGAAGAAGAGTGGGCAGGTGGTGGTGGCGGTGGTGAAGATGGTTCATCGATGCTCAGCGCCGCCATGAAAAGGATGAAGTATGAGAGGAAGATATCAGCTTCGTTGTATGCTTTTAATGGGATATCAGAGTGCTTGAAGCTGAAGTTAGGGGGTAGAAATGGAGGAGGCGATCAGGCTATGAACGACCAACTTTTAAGTCTGAGCAAAGCGTGTAAGAGACAGAGAGTGGACGATGTTACAGAGAGGGTAGAGGTGAAGAATGAAGATTCAGAGACTGTTTCTTCAACTATTCCTCCATCTTCTTCTTCCTCTTCTTCTTCCTCCTCCTACAGCTCTTCTTGCCTGAAGAAAACGCCGCCACCAGCAGCTTTGAATACTGAATCTGAATGGTCGATTTGGGGTTCACTTGATCTTTCTCCAATATGTGTGGCTTCTAATGCTGTTAAGCTGTAATTTGATTGCCCGATATTGGAAGCTCAATTCTGTGATCAAGTTCTTAGCTTTATAATCCAGTTAGTAACTTTTTATAAGATTATAAAAACACAGTAGATAAACAGCAGGGAAAGATCTATAATTTGTATGATGGAACATCAACTGAAATTGTCCCTTGTGATTGCTGTCAGGAAGAAAGAACTTTACTTATGTTTTCTGGTTCTTTTCGCCTCACTTCTGACTTTATTTTGCAGTTATTACTTTATATTATCTTCTTCAAACTCATGAATGAAGAATTTTCTCCTGAACTTCCACCATTTTTCTCTTTCTTAAGCTTGCTGGAAAGAAAAACTCACCATTCTGAAACAACAGAAACTCTCATACATAGAATTTTTTTTTAAAAATCGACAGATTTCATTATAATAAAAGAAAAATTGTCTACAAATCTGCATCTTACACATTACAGCATAATCATTCAATTAATATTGTAGAATTTGTAGCTTAAAGGCGACAGGCCATGGCTGTCCTTTTCAGCCTGTAAGCCTGGCCAACAACTGCAAAGTTGTGCTCTCAACTATTTAATTTTTAATTGTATTGATCGAGCTAAACAATAAGATGAACTCGTTGACATAATCCTTACAGAGCAAAGGTCATCAATTTTTATTTATTTATTTATTTATTTTTCCTGCTCTGTTTATGCAAATATTAGGTAAACTGTAAGCCACCATTTCAATATTGTATGATTTATTTATTTTTTTTCAACGATATAGACAAAAGGGGAATAAAAATCAGCTTCGTTTAGGCTCAAAGGGAATTAATTGAAGGGTTTTGTCCAAATGTATATGCACAGTATCAAATTGGGGCTTAGTTTGTGACAGCTTTTTTAGTGTTTTTTTAAGCAATTTTTTAAGTATAAAAATTATTTTTTTGTACTAAAAAGCTGCTTCAAGAAGCCCAAACGAAGCTTGAGTATTATCAAAATATCATCAATAAGTATGACAGAAAAGTTAAATCACCAATGTATTTTTGCTGTATAATTTTGAAAAATTATATAAAAATATGATCATTTGTAAAATTAATGGAAAAAAATAAAACAAACGACGATAATTTATTTGCGGTTGGAATCCCTCAAAATTGTCTTGTAGTAATTTGGCATAACACTGAGGTAAACTTCTAAATAGTCTCCAACTATTTCTATATGACAAATTTATGCTTCGTTTGTGACGGCTTTTTTATTGCTTTATAAAACGGAGTTTTAGTACAAATTTTTTTATTTTTGTACTGAAACTCCGTTTTAGAAAGCAATAAAAAAACCGTCCCAAACGAAGCCTTAATCTCAAAGTATCACATTGCTTTTAATTTAGTCATTTAGTTGTATAAAATTGAATCAAAATAGCCCGTTTGAGACTAAGGCTTTATTTGGGACGGCTTTCTTGCTGCTTTTTCTTAAAGCAGTAAGAAAGCCGTCTCAAACGAAGGGTAAATGAGATCAATTTTATATCACATTTATTACTCGAGGAATTGATTTTGGATCAATTTTGTATATTTGAGGGGCCAAATTCGAGCAAATTGATACTCCGATATTGAATTGGTCACACACAAACAGTCTGAAAATTATTTTAAGATTTTTCTTGCAAAACATATATTAGTTTTTTTGCTGTATGTTATGCTCAACAAGCAAAATGTACTAATTTGACTAAGTTAGGATAATTAAGAGTTTTCTACAATAATATTATCATAGATTATAATAAGCTTGAGTTTTATATTTTGCTGATAATATAAAATAACATATCAACATTGGTGTTAATATATTTATTATCAAAGGAGGATTATAATAGTTTATACATATGATGATGATGCACATTGAATGACCATATCATAAACATTAAACACTCCATTTTATGATTAACTTTATTAAAGATAATCATAATTGTATTAAATGTAACATTGATCAAATCTACTATTGGGTGTAAGCATTTTTCTCATTTGTGAAGTGTTAATGACTATAATGAAATGATGAAATTATTTATATGCAATGATATATAACATAAATGCTAGACATGCAAATGTATAACTATTAGCTAAATGGAATGATAGAACTAATTATTACAAAATAATAAAAAATTACATGTGAAAGAATCATATTTAATTACTTTGGAGTAAGTACAATGATAATAATCATTTTGATACATTATTTGAAAATACGTTCATGAATTTTGAGGTAATATTTAAATTGAAAATTTTCAAAATAGAATTCAGGATCATTCAAACTCTGATTTAAACAAATTTATGGCCTGAATGAACTTCTCAACAAGAGGAACAACCGACACGAAAGGTGATATGATTTAAGTTCAAATGAGCCCAAAATAAGCACTGGAAGAACGATTGAAAATTTTAGGAAATTAAGGGGTCATTTGGTTTGCAGAAAAAAATGCAAAGTAAATGGAGTGTTGTGCAAAAGGAATGCAATGCATTTGAAATATTTTGGAGTTATTTGAAGGAGTGTAAAATAAATGCAAATGATTAATTTTTTGTTTGGCTTGAAGTAAAATGAGTGCACTATAAAATCAAAAAATGGTGATGGCATGTGACTTGGTAGCAGTGAAGGTCGATTGTTCGGAGACGAAGAAGGGTGGCAATCAGTGGTGGAGAAGTTCAACAACAGGCAGCCAACATGCAGGGGCAACAACTAATAGTGGACCGCAATGGCTACAACAATAATGATAGATAATTTATAGTGTATTTTAAGCATGACTAAATCTAATAATTTTAAGTACACTAAAATTGAACTCGAGGGTAAAGTAATTTAAAATTTTACTCTATATATATATTTTTTATTTCGATACCAAACATCAATATTTTCAAAGGCACTGCATTTAGAATGTTTTACAACCATTTTACTTTAAAACTAAATGACCCTTAAGTAAAGGGCCAATGATCTCCAATCTTTGCATGCTTACAATCTAAATGAGTGGATGTACAAGAGGAATCCAACAAGCCTAATATCACTTCGTTCTATCATTAAGTCACTTTATTACTGAAAGAATGATTTATAACAAAAAAATTAACATGAGTCGTCTGATAGAGTATTTTGGAATTTTTTCTAGCTTTATCAAAATGCCCACTCATAATAACCAAAAAATAGAGCCCTGTTATCAACATGAAGGGGACCCTAAATTGAAATAGAAGAAAGTTTGGAGATTTGAAGAAATTTTGAGCTCTACCCAATATTTGACGCTGATAATTGCAATTAGCAAACGCTATGAATTGCCTATCATTTTCCAACTACCATCGCTTGGTTGTCATTGTTCATCTATTGTCGTTCGATGACTATTATCTAACTGTCATCATTCGATAACCACCGTCTGACTGTCATAGTCCAACCATTATCACCCGGAAAATATGTCCTATAGTTTTCATCATCCCTCATCTATTTCTCAAGCAATTCTACTACAATAATGGAAGACCAAACTTGATTTCAACACTATGTAATTTTTTCTTCTCTAATTATAGGGAATAAATGATATCTATTATTCTACTAACATGGTTGATCATTTACTTGGGTCAAGCCCTCTAGTTTTTTTCTTCTTGAAAATTTCATATAAAACCTATCTTGTCTTTTGTTAAAATTATGACATTGATAAAGCTTTGTAAATATCATGTTAGAATATATAAACTCAATAAAGGAAGTTTTTTCATTTCAAGAGAATACATGAATAATTTCTTGCATTTATACAAATATCAACATATTCTCCATCATTATTAATAAGGACTATCCTAATCAACTCAATTTTTACTTTATTTTAAAAGTCTAATAAGTAGCCTTTTGGATGCTTGACTAAAAGAAATCCTTTTATGTTTGCTCCAAACTTGTAGTGCACAAATCAAACTTTGTTAAATATGTTACATACAAAATCTCCTCAAGATATTGGTTTTGGGTCTTTCACTTTAGTCAACCAGCCATACATTGAGGAATCTCTTGAAGTATTCTACAACCATAAAACTTCTTCCCAGCTTCAACTTCTAAGAGGATTGTGTCTTTCCCTTGAGAATTTTTGTTAGCATCAAAGATGCAATTTCAATCCTAGCTTTTACTTCTAATTGGGTATGATTAGCCTATTCACTTTGGAAGAGCATATATTCTTCACAAGAGGCGTCTTAGAGCTTAGATGTACTTGAAATCGGAGAAAATTTTGAGATTTGAAGAACTTTAGAGTTCTGCTTGATTTTAGATGCTAGATGATTGAAACTAATGATTATTGTTGTCTAATCACAACTGCCTGATTATAATCACATGACCATTATCACCAAACTAATGTTGCCCAATACGATCTCTTGACTACTATTAATTGACTAAAATATATTGGCCATTGCTCCCTGATTACCATCTCTTAACTCCTATCATCCACTAAATGCGTTGCTAACAATTTAAACACACATCACCTTTAAGGCATATGAATGTTGTTGACAACAACAATGACACTCATCAGTTTCATCAGTCACGCCATCATGTATAAGGCTAATGCACGCCGTCAACGCACATCATTGTTTACAAAGTTGATGTATTATTGATGCACGTCATCGCCAATAAGTATGTTGTGCGCCATTGTTATTAAGGCTAACGCCTATCGACATTGTAAGTGATGTCAAGCAAGTGAATGCTGATGCAAGACATCATTAATAAGACTAGTGCATGATATTGATATCAACTCCAATTTTCAATGTCAAAACCAAGATTATATTGGATTGTTTGATCTTTGATTTTCTCACCTCAAAGGATAATGATTATACAAGCCATAAACAACCACTTAAAAACAAGTCCAATGCCTCTATTATTTTCCAGCTTACATCATAGAATCTATTCTAAATAATTTTAAACAAAAATTTTTTAAATAAAAAAAATTAACTAAAAAACTGCTTTCTAAAACAGTAACAAAGTTATTCCAAACAAAAACTTAGTTTCATTATATCATTCAATGTCAAGACAAATCAGATATAATTTACCAAGACAATTTGAAACAAGGTTAGATTTGCAATGCCCGCTTAATTCATGTGTGATATAGCTTTTACAATAATCAATCAAAATTAAGTTTGCAAAATGTACAATTACACTTCAATCCAATATTGTCCCTACATTATCCTGGACCACATCAACTGCAGTTATTATTTCTGCATACAAAATTATGATGTCAGGGAAGAAGAATTTCCATGAAATTATGATAGTTTTATATAACCAAAATAAAATCAAATTTTATTAAAAGAAAATTAATGATTCCAACATTATAATGCAAAAGCCTCTGTTTTTTTTTTTAGCAAACCATCTTGTAATTTATATAGAAAAGAAAATCTTTTAATATTTATATATACAATAATGCCACATTATCTAAGAACTATCACATTTCTATGATCAGCTCCCCTGCTGGCTTTTTCTTCTTGTAATGCTCGAAGCTGTAATGTTGTACATAGACAAATTTAAATTTAGGATTCACACTAAATTACTGTAACAAATCAATTTCTCTCATCTAAACAAATTATAACAATAATGCTAAAGAAAGAATTAAAGAATAGTGGGATTAGCTTTGTACAAAGGTGAGAGGGTATGCAAGGCTGGAACAAATAGAATGGATCAGTGGATCATCCAAAGATTTCAAAAATACCTGCAGATGAAGAAGGAATTGGCATCAACAAGGTGATAAATAAAAGTTTGGAATTTAATTTATAGGTATCATACAGTAATGTTGAATTACCCAATTCTTATATGTTGATGTTGGTGTCATGTTCAAGTCTGAAAGTATGCCAAAAATGGTGAAAAGTGGTTTTTCTGGCAAGAACTGAAGTCACCTACACTTCAATTTATTGGAAATTTGTATTTTGTTGGACTCATGTGCTTTTTTCTTCTCAAGTTCGGCCTGCTTGCAATTTTCTTCATGTGCTCGTCGGAACATCCGAACAAAGTTCATAAGAGTGGTGATGACTGCAATATACGTAAGTATGAATTCCAGTTTTTTAGGATCAAAGGGATTAATTATTCTGTGCGGACGTCCAAAGCCGTATGGAGACCAACTAGAATGCGCCATGTCACCTTTGTGCTCAGTACCGCGGCTCGGTACTACTGACATGGCGCATTCTGGTTGGTCTCTGGACGACTTTCTGCGTCCGGTCTCCACATAGAATAATTTTTCCCTAAGGTGGTAGGAAAAGTAAAATGCACTTAAATATGAAGAAACAGTAATGGCATGTTTCAGTTAGAAGGAAATAGAGGTAAACATTTAATACTCAGGCAGGGAGAAATGCTGAAATATGAAGCTATTATTAGAGGAAACTAATAACGCCTTTGTTTACAATTATGTATTTTTCTTATTTCTCATTCTGTATGTACTAGGATGACAATGAGACTGGGTTTTTATGCACTTTTCTAGTATTTGTCAACCATGTAATCATATGGTTGTATTCTAAACATGCTAATAGATAACAAGAAGAATTATTCCCCTCCATGTCAACTCACTTTCTCTACAGCCACATATCAACTTTTATTCCAATTTTTAATAGCAACACTAAATGCATCAACTTTGATGCATAATATATGGAAAAAGAACATTCAAAGCTCAAGATTAATGGTCTTTACGCTTTATGATATATTAGAAAATTGCAGAAAAAGGAGCTAATTCATGGGCTAGGACGTTTATATGATATCAAGTTCTTAATTGTGTTTAAAGCAGCACCTGAATATTAGTTTCTGCATAGTTTAGTCATTTGGAGCAGATAGTTGCCACAGCCAACAAGCACCCACGCTCAATTTGAAACCCCATGAGCTCACAAGTGAAGAATAATAGTGGACATTTAAGAAAAGGGTCATATGAAACCATTTAAAAGAAACTAATTGCCTTTATTTCTGGGAAAAAAGTTTCAATTTAGCATAGAAACTGGATGAAGCAGGACCATCGAAATTGCTTAGACAGGTTAGGATTGTTTGGTAACATCAAGATAACCTGGTCATGGTAATCTATATGGGCACTTATTTCAATCCTGTATTTCCATGGATTGATGAACTCATTTTTTAAGTGAAATATAAATCATCAGACATAATGAAGCCAAAATTAATTGGTCAAATTTGCTTAACATAATCCAAGAACCCAAATTGTGAAATAGGAAATCTAAAAATGGTTTTCAATATTGGTCAGATGGGAGGACAGTGCAAAATAATCATTGAAATAGCTAACATCTTACAAGTTTTAGGAATTGCATGCAAAAATGTAAGAAAAACAACGTCAAGGAAATGCTCGGATTAAGATGAATGTTTATATGTTGGAGGATGAATCATAATTCAGTTTTAACTAATGCTGTATCTGAACCTACCTGAAAAAATACACTGTTTGCTATCATGCAATGTAAGAAACTAAGAATAGATAATGTTCACTCAACAATAGAAAACTACATAACTTACCTTGTTCAAAGGAGCAGCGAGCAGGGTCTTCGCCAAAATAAAGAACAAGACCATCTGCATTTTGACCCTAAATAGAAATATTATTTATAAAAAACTTATAATCGCAAATATCAATAGAATAAATTCAGTACAAACCATACCACTGCATTATAAAGTGCTGTTAGTGACCGAACTTCAGCTCCAGCAACCACAGTAAAATCCTTCAAAGTCTAGATAGAATGTAAAATATAGACAGTTAAGCAAGCTGCTATGAATAAAAAATGAACCCTACAAGAGAAAACGACCAGACTGAAATTAGCTCCAAAAACTGAACTGATAAAGATAAAATTGGTTTTGATGAAGTAAATGCAAATTTTGTAATGAAACAGTAAAAAATTACTCGTCATGTACTTTTTTTTTATTTTATAATGATTTTTTCACAAAATTAGTTTTACTGGATATTTTTTGTTGTATAATATTTTAGGCATTTTAACTAGTATATTGACACAAAGAAATTGCTACAAAATGATACAAGCATCAAAATGTCATCGTGGATATTGCATTGGAATGATTTTATGATTTGTAACTGTTGAAATGTATGCAAAAGTTTACCCTCATAAACCCTACAATTTTGTTGTATATGCAAAATTAGTATATTTTTATGATATGTTAAATACTGTTCATATATGTTGAAAGTATTGACATTTCTATAAATATGTGAAAGGGGAAAGGCGAAAAATGCAGGTGATTTATTATATAGAAATTTAGAAAATAAATTTGGATATATATAGACCTAATGTCGTAGCGCTCTCTAGACAATATTTTTGGCACTCAAACAAAAAATTTGTTGTCATAGCGCCATTAACTAGTGTAGTAGCGCTGCATTTTGGCACATAGCGCCACGATGCTCACTTACTAGCACTGCGACGCCTCCAAATAGAGAAGATAGCGCCGCAAAGCCGATAATACAGCACCGTAGCGTCCTAAAGGTAAAAACTAAAAAATCCATAAAAATATTCATAAATGCTAATTAAACATGTGAATTCTTACTATGTCCAGATCACATTACCACAAGTAATCCCATTACTGCACAGGCGGTCATTACACCCATCTACTGTGCATAATCAGGTAGAGAAGCAGACAAATAACAACAATGCAAAAATAATTTCTAAATCCGCGTTGAACTAGAAAAATCCAGTAAGGACAAGGAATCATGTGCTGAAGAATGACGAGGAATCATAAGGGCTAAACTAGGGAATCTGACGAATAATGATAAAGAATCGTAAGTGTATTTAAAACATTGGAGAATGCATCTCAGTTTTAATATGATCAGCATTATAGGCATGCTTTAATTGAAAATAAATTAGAAAAATAGAAACTAAGAGTAGAGACAAGCAAAATAATATCATACACATAATTTGCTTTTCAATAATTAAAGACTTTCATATTTGCATCGCCATTCTAATGAATACTCCTAGAAGATCAAGGTTTTAAGATTTGGACTTCACAAGTCAAATTATGATAACATGTCTAAATGAATGTCTAGTTTGATCAAAATGAAGATTGAATCATTGTGGTGTTTTAGATCATGCTAATCAAAGCTCACTAAAGTTTTTGATTGATTTGGATTTGTCACTTTTGGAAGTGAGCCAATAATTTTGTTTTTAATAGTAGTTCAGTTTAGAAAGCACTAAGTTCAAGAAGTATTCCATAACAATAATGATATGTAATGACAAAACTAAAGCACCCTACAAGAAGTTGAAATGATCTTCTTCTTCTCTCCAATGCTGAGCATTTCTGCCTTGGGAGGTTGCCGCTGCCTGTAATGGCAATCACCGTCTATTGGGAATGCCCTTGCCTATGACTATACTGTGGAATAATAAAAATAAGGCTTACCCGGCCTCAGCCAATCCAATATACCAGTTGGTCAACCCTCCTGACAAGCTAAGATCCCTGCTTCATTCTGATATAAGCAGGAGGGATTAAGGTTTTTAGGCCAAACAGGGAAGGGCTCCAAACAGAATAAAGAAGTGAAAAGGTGGCAAAGGTAATGGAGTCAAGATGGCCTTGGCTGGCCAATTACGAGGTACAACAACATCAATGTACATGTTTGTGGACTTTGCACTGTATTTTCTGTTTGTGGTGTTTTCCCAGTCTTCTGTTACTAATGTGCATATCTGCTAACCTTCCATTGTGTGGAACCACTTCTGCATATTCTCAGTAAAAATCTGAAATTGGACTATGTTATCTGCTGTTTTTTTTTTTTTTACTCTAGATTTAAAGTTTCACATTAGCTTGGAATGCTAGTTTGTACCTTGTGAGTTGTTATAACATATTCATATTTGTGAAGTGGACCACCATCTAGATTCAAGGTATGAAAATTGTATATGCAAGTCCCAATCGGTATTTTTATTTAAGTGTGCGTCTATGTGTGGGTGTCTATGTTTGTGTTTGAATGGATGTCCGTTTGTTGAGTGAGTATGAAGGCAAGTATATTACTTAGGAGAAACCGTGAGAAATGAAGCAGATTAGGCGATGAAATCAATTGGAAAGAATAGATAAAAGATAAAAATGATGATTAAATTCACAATATACCTTACGAAAAGTCTCAGATATTACCCCATCGCTTTCTGAAGCGATCAGCTCCATCTCAACCTTCTCTAATCCTTTGACCACAGCTTGTTGTTCTTCAGCTAAAGTCTTCAATTGTATCTGTGAAGCAAGTATCATGCACGACCACAATTGCAAGATTCAATATTGATGAATATATAAAAAAACAGGATTAACCTTAGATGCCGCTTCTAGGCTGATAAAATCCTCATGGAAATCCAGCAGATGTGGTGACCTTGAAGCGAGGACCTGATGGCCAATAGCAGCCTCTCAGATTAAAAAAAAAGTACGAATTAACCTGAAAAAAGCCTCGCTAAGAGCTGGAAATCTACTCCGGGGGTGAAGCATTAAAAGAAACCCTAGATTGGCCAATATTGTATGCTTGATTGATGGAAAAGGTCTTTCAACAAGCATCAGTTGGCAAAAAATTGATTAACGAAGAGCAGGCTAGACCATTAAAGTCCACAACACAGCACTGCTTGAGTGAATAAAACAATGATATTCTTTGTGCCTTCAAAGTGGCGGGAAAAACTACGAATATGAATCGGTGGCCAAACATATCACATGGTTGTTCCAAAATGATTGACATGCCTATATGGATCAATGGATTTTTTGAATAAATTATGAACTGATATTTTGAAATCACGCGGAATTTGGTAGATTCTCCATCACGGATTCGTCGCTAAGAGGAGAAATTATTGTGTGCGGAATCCGAAGGCATTCGGAGGTGAATCCGGATGCACCACATCATCGAAAAGGTAGGTTAATCCAACCCTTCTATAAATATCCTCAAAAAGATGATGAAATTCCGGGCGAATCTGTCCGTGAAAAAGTAGATTGATTGAAGTAGGAGTTGGAAAGGGTTTGATCTCTCTCCTATAACTGAATTCCTTGGTTGCGATAACGAGCATGAGAAAAACTTGTAACGTCAGGAATATTCTCAATGTGGATTTAATATAATATAATGGATAGTGCATGTAGTTCTGAATTAGTTAGAGGAACTTGAGTGTTACAGGGAGGTTGACTTCTATTAGTTGTCACAATGTCTGCTTATCAATTTACAGGTGATACTGATTAGAGGGCAGACTTATTTTCTCAATCGTCAAGGAGAGAAGGGTTTGAGAAGGAATTGGTGATAAGATTGTTTGGTATAATGAGACTCAACTTATAAGCCTCTAGAGATAGCCTGACATTGTTACACTTGCTCCTCATCTAAGATGAGAGATACTCATCGATCACTATAGTTAGACTGGGTAGTGATCAATAGTGTTGTATGAGCACCCAAATCATAAACCTGTTCAAAACAAAGGAAGCTTTTCCATTTTCAGATGGCATGTCTCATTTTAGAAAACTTGTTTGATGGTCTTATTTTTAATCATAGCAAGAAATATCAAATGAACTTATTAACAGATAAAAGAAAACACAGTTTACTAAGGTGAAGAGTCAAACTACATCAATACCTTACAAAGATAATGCATGAGAGTCATCCTGTTGTTCGTAGCACGCATATCTGATAGTTTGAGGAGGCTATCTAAACGGAAACCAACAGCAGCACCTGTTGTGAGGGAAGCATAATTAACAGTAATACATTTTAAGAATAGCAAGGGAGAAAGTACGGTATAAACATGAAGATAAGAAGCGTAGTAGCATGAAATGGAAATTATTCTAAAGAGAAATAAAGCTAAATACAATTGACTACTTTTTTGCAAATCAGCTCTATCATCGTGTCGAAAATTTTAATTTTGAGGTGTTGAAGGTACTATCAGGTTTGCCATTGTTCAGGTCGACGAGATCCTTCAAAGTTTTCTGGGTGAGCGAGTCATCATTTGAAGCAATAATATAGCATGATAAACTATCTATCCATGATTTTACATCCCAGTATCATGGAACTCTTCACAAATATTTGCTTAAGACTTGTCAGTCATAAGGAATTGAACAGTGAATGTACAACCAAAATTAATGTTTTGATTTATATTTTCACCATTAGGGTAATAGCTGCCTGGAAGCTTCTCCATCGTCATTTGTTATTGCCACTTTGGACCGCAGAACCTTACACAATTGAGCCGCATCGATCCTCATAGCAGAAGCCGATGTTGAAGGGACATGTCGACGATTGGAGCCGTCTAAGCGATAAGGAGATAGGGAACGTGGTGGTCGGAGGTTGGAGCGGTTATGACACTTGCATGCAGGTATGGAGGGATCGATGAGGTGTAGAGGGTAAGAGAGGGTATGGGGTGACATTGGTCTTGAATGGATCACAAGAGGGAATAATGAGGTGGTTGGGTTGACGTGGAATTGAGGAGTCGAGAGGAGTGGTAGCCGAAGATGGAGGAACAATAGCCGACGAGAGATGAATCGGCAGTCAGCTTTGGTAAGAATGAGCGCCCCCTCCCGGATGTATTGAAATGGATAGGTTTGAGAAGCGGGGAAAACAGCTGGGAAACGAGGACTGGGTGCAAGAAAATCAGGTTAGAGGGCTGAGACATGTGTTATGTTTAATTAATTATTTTTATTTTTAAATACTTGTAAGATCATCTCTAACCGAACTATATACGGCGATATGCCATCCTCCATTCGCTCCATTCGAATGCTAAATCATATCTCAAAAATTCAGTAGGTGAACAGTGCGGCTCTAATATTGAGATATGCTGAAGAAACATACGAAAGAGGAGAAAGACGGTTGGTTACCTTCGCAGCGAGATGAAGAAGCACGTGAATGGATTTCGATTGAAGATGAATTATTGCATTTTAGAATTTTATTATAATTTGGAGAGAAAAAATGGATTTTTGGCTGGAGATGTCGTAAGACCGGACGTTTTTATAAACTTATACTAAAGCTATTAATTCATGTCATGTTTTTGTAAACTTGTCCTAGAAGCCATTCAAAAGTCATTTCAAGTAGATCATACTATGTGGATGATTTTCTGATGCACAAGATAAGGAGGTTGCATACTTTAATTGTTTCAAGAAATCTCCCGTTACTCAAGTTTGAGTTGCAATTCCTTGACTCCAGATTAATTACCTAAAAAATCCTACTTTGTTTTCACTTAATTCAATTTTGGTAAACTAGTTCAAGTGGATATTCCAATTGCTAGGTAGTCAGTAGCTCGAATTATGGCTAAAATGGATATTACTATCTCTTTAGGGACCGTTTGGTTAAGTAATTGTAAAGTAAACAAAAAACAAGTCTTTTGAAATTTCAAATGTTTAGTTATAAGAAAAGCAAATTCAGAATAAAATTGGAATGTATTTAGAATTTTTTATTTAGATCATTTTCAATATATTTGAAATTCACTAGATTTAAGCGAATTCTAAATACTTCTCTTCAGGGGGGAGTTATAGTTGCCATTAGCTACCACTAGTTGTTGTTGGCCACCAGTGATATCGGCTGCCCTCCGCCATCACTACCAATAGATGTCCTCCGCCACCACCGCATTCGGTCATCCTCTACCACCACCTCCTATCACCTTCTACGGTCGTTGTGAATCGTCGATTGTTTACTTTCGACCAACCACCCTATTATAGTCGCTGTTTGGTTTAATGTTTATTTTTTTTATTTCAAGCAAAACACAAAAGTTTAATCTCTTGCACTTATAGTGTACTTAATCAAACAACTTATAAATATTTTTAATACGCTACCTTTATTTTACATTACATTCCTTTTACTTTATATTCTTTTTTAGTAAAGCCAAAAACCCCTTAATTTAAACAAAAAAGTAGTCTCATATGGGGCATCAAAAGGATAACACTTGCCCAAGGAAATACAAAAGTGCTACCTCCAATTTTTAATATTCATAAACCTATCCACCATGTAAAATATCTCTAGTGAACCTATTTCAAAGTAGACTAAGGCTCACAAAGGTATTATATTGTGTGACTAGGTCAGCTATGCTTTTAAGCCTCCAAGGTGTCACATCAATGTGATCAAATTGGCCTTATTTTTAAGCCTCAGAGCCACTACCAAATCATGCAATGCCCCTTGATGCTAAATATCCAAGTTGTGAACCTATAAGTCCCCTTTGGCCAAGTTTTGTGTCTTTACTCCTCTTTTGGCCATATTCTTAAGCCCCAGAGTCACTTAGTCTATTTAATAGAGCAATGCCCTTTATAAGTTGAGGCTTGTCATAAAATTGAGCCCCTTGGCATAAATTTCAATTGTGATCCATTGGAACTGATAGCTCCTAATAAAACATTCAAAATTTACAATAAAATGCTGTGTTTTACATTAGGTTCCTCCTAGCAAACCCTCGGATTATGGAATCATGGAAACTAACTAAGACTTAACATCATCCCAACCCACGCACCCATCCCAATCTCCACAAGCATGATAAAAAAAATGAAGTAGAGCTTATGGAATGCCATTTGCATAACAACAACAACAACATCAATTTTTTATCCCACTACATGAGGTCGGTGGTGTTGCATAATGAGAGTAAAATCTATTCACCTATGTGATTTCCATGAGGAAAGAATTATGACATCATAAATTGAAAATTTTCTTATGCTATCGAGATGAATAATTAATTATGAAAGTAACAAATGAGCACTAGCTCAGGTGGTATTGCCTCTTCCTCACAAAGTATGAGGTGAGGATTCAAGTCCCGCTCATATTAAGTTGTGTCAAAAAAAAAAAAAAAAAACTTTTAGTTGGCAACAGGAAATGATTAAGACAACCAAAGCTGTTTTGATGCTGAAGATGAATTCAAGTGCATCAACTTATTCACCATGGCGTGATCTTTACAGTCATCACGATTAATCATAAAGAATATGGAAATGGAATACAAAATGTATACGACAGTGCAATAATTTATGTGACAGAGAAACTTACTTTCCTTCACCTGGATATTATTTCAAAAATGCAAGAAAAACCGCTCTTACCTCTTGCAGTTCCCTGATTAAGTGTATTTCCTAGATATAGAATTTTCTTCATGATTTCCTTTAGCTTGTTTGAGTTACGAATCTGAAAGGGTTGTTACAAAAACAGTTAATAATGATAACTATAATAATTCCGTATGTTGTATTCAGTCAGAATCTAAATTGACCTCTTCACACGAAGCGTCAACAGCATACAAACTCTTTCTTATATCGGCTGTCTGAAAAGAATATGAGAAAGAGAAAAGTTTATAATGACTTTTCAAGGATAACTTACTACATAGTAAGGAGAAAAAAATTTGGTTAAAAGAAAACAGAACCTGTGCATTAAACTGGATTTTAAAACAAAAGACCCTTAACTTGGCCTCTACACGAGGAACCTTCATCAATTCAAGGAAGAACTACATCACAAAACAAGCAGTGGTTATGGTAGTTAAAGAAGTAAGGATAAAAAATAAAAATGATCAAATCATAACAGACCTTTTTTTGAAGCTATATTACTACATACCCAAAACAAAGAAATGTGTTATTGTGTGCATGTGCACATAAACATACATAAATGTAATTTCGTATAAGGATCAGGACCATAATCAAATAAGTAAAAGAACCATATTTCAGGCCAAAAATGCAGCATTAATTGCATATTCCGTCAAAGCAGAGAGGGCATCTTGCTTTAGGAGTCAGCGACAAGTCAGCTATATTTGAAACATGTTATTGCTGAAAAATGCGTAAAAGAAGAGTCTATAGAATGTTTAAACCGAATTAAATACAACACAAGAAAGCAATTCAAAACGATATAGAAAGTACAGTTCTGAACAGAGTTCAAAATTCAATCACAGATGCAAACTTAACACAGTAGGCTTTCAAGAATCTTAATGAGCTTGCATTGTCTGCATTAAAAATGGATGAATATCAATATTCTTCACTAAAACTTCTCAATTTTAGTAAATAAGCGACTTTGTAGCACCCTGCATAGTCAGTGTAGTGAATCAATCAAGCATTACAAGAATGACTTCTCTTACCTGCTCACATTTTCCAAGATTTCCCCGGTCTCCAGTATAGTTCTGATATCCAAAAGGTTGAAGTGTTAGAACACAAAATGAAAACTATAACACTCGATTGATGCACTAAGACGAGAGAGATGAACAAAGCAATAAAATTAAATGAAGCTATTGTAGACTTCTGCACCTTAAGGAGCTCCATCTCTTCTTTAGTTGGGCAAAATTTAATAAGATTTTCAACTTGATCACCATCTAGGAGAGAATCATCCAATGTTAGAGCAGCATTCTGCGGTAAAAGTGAACTGCATTATCACATAAATCCCACATATTGCTGCATTCAGGCTTAAATAAGTTCATTTAAACATAGAAATTACTTGCTTTTGTACTTGGAATGAAGCTACAGGTCAGTAGATCTATTAATCTTAAAGATGTTTTAGTGTGAAAGTTACCTAATTTTTAAAAAGGATCATCGCTGACCCCAGAATTAGCAAATGATTGTTAACTAATTTAAATAAAAAAAGATAAAAAACACAATTATAAATTTTTTTTTTAACAAAAAAAGAAAGTTTTTTTTTTTAACTTTGTACTTTTTGTCAACAGTAATTAAGTAAGGCATATGTCACGAGGCGCATAGTTTTGAAGGCAGCAATTAGAGGTTTTATTCCTGTTAAAATTTTAGATATTTTAATTAATTAGCAAAAAAAATCTTTTTTTTTTGAAGTTTAGATCACTAATGGCAAAAATTGATTCTCACATAAAACGCAAAACATAATTGAGTTTTTCACGTATCATGCAAAAAAAATTGCCTTTACCGTAGCAAAATCATTTTTTTTGCATTTTATAAAAATAACATAATTTTTTTTTGCTTTTAGAAAAAATTTAAATTTATTTTGTATTAAGACTTTTTCTTTTAATTCCTACATAAATTTGTATGTATATATTTTAAATTAAATTATATCTGCATTTATCATTTATTCCCTGCTATTCTAGTCATATTCTCTCTCACACGCCGTAGTACCGGGGAAATTATTAGGTTCGGTCACCAGACGTAGAGATAGGTCCGGACACCAATAAAATATTGACATGTGGAATGTACAACTGTCCGCGGAATTTTAAGTTAAGCGCGTCAAAAGCGCAGGTAAAGTGCAAGTAAAGCACCAGTAAAGCGCGGGTAAAGTGCACCTAAAGTGCAGTCAAAAAGCGCAGTCCACGTGACAAGTTTTTATTGGATGTCTGGACCTAAAAAATAGGTCCTGTGATCAGACCTAATATTTGTCGTAGCGCCGACCATGTCAGGTTCAGGTGATTAAAAAAGAAAGCGAGAGAGAAGATTTAATTCGTATCACGTTACTCTCCATCTCTCGTTTTCCTTCCCATATTGCTCTCTACCTCTACCTCCACGGGGCACCCTCCCGATCTCCCGTAGCTGAACGTACCTGAAACTCTTGCACATCCCGATCTCATTCTCTCTCATACAAATGACAAATGGTCATCGGACCTAGAGATAGGTCCAGACACAAATAAAATATTGACATGTGGAATGTACATGCGTCCACAGAATTTTAAGTCAAACGCGTTAAAAGCGAAGTTAATGTGCATATAAAACACAGTCAAAAAGCGCCAAGCTCAGTCCAAGTGGCAAGTTCTCACACAAACACGCTCCAGCACTCGATCCTCGTCTCCAGGTGCAGCTCGAGCCTGCGCGATCCCGTCTTTCCCAGCTCCCTCCGCCTGATCGCTATCCGGTCTCCCTCTTGTCTTCCCTTCTCGGTCGCACTCCGTCACCTCGCTCTCCCGCTCTAGATCGAAGACCCGTCTCGCTCGCGGTCGCTCACTCAAAACGGCCTCCTGTCGATCTATTTCTTGAGCTCCTACCTACCCGAAGTCATCGTCTTTGCCCCTCTTCAGCTCTTAACCAAGATCCCTGAACCCTCCACGGAAGCGGAGTGAGGAAGTCGCTACGAGAGCTAGCTGGCGTAGTCCTGAACGGGACCAGCGGTGTACGAAAGAGAATAGGAGTTCGTTTGACGTGCAAGTATGGATTGAAGCTTAAGGTAAACGAGGGAGAAGCGGGATTTAAGATTCAGTTGTATTTAAGGATTGTTTGGTGTAGCTTTCTTTATGTTTTGCTTTTCAGATCATTGCCACATTATTTTAGTTAAATCTTGCAACCAAACTGCCACCTACATATTCAATTGTCTACAATAGTATCGTTTGCAACAGTATCATCTACAACAACATCGTTTACAACAATATTGTGTGTGAAAGTATAATGTTGGGTTTCTCATTTAGGCTTCCTTTGGGACAGCTTTCTTACTAAGTAATTTTTTAATATTTTTTTTTTAATTTGAAATTTTTGTACTAGAAAGCTTCTTCATAAAACAGTAAGAAAATTGTCCCAAAAGAAGTTTTAGTTGCACGAATTATAAGTATCTTAGGATCAATTATACATGCTTTTTGAAGCTTTATGAGAAGGCTTAGTACTCTCCTAAACACCACCTACATGGAAAAGATGCTGAGTGTTGGCAAAATCTTTTAGTGACAACTTAAAAAAGAACAAAATGAAAAAAAAAGTTTGTGGGCATAATGAGACAAAAAATGATGAAAATAAATGATTATTACTCTATGTTCTATGTATAATGTTACAATTGTGTTCTATAATATTATTTATGAATGTTTAGACGTAGAAATTGTTGATGATTTAACTTAGTTCAACTCAACTTCAAGAATATATTATTAGTTTAATTGGTTTAATGGATATAAAGTTCTAGCTTGTGCTTTCTTGTCGAAACAAATCGGAAATAAAAAGATTTTTCTCCTTTCTCCAGAGTTTATTGAATTCCATTCTAGACGTTATAGCTCTCAAGAGGACTTTGATATTTTAGGCCTATTTCTCTCTTGTGGATAGATATTACTTGCTCAGCTTTTTAACTATTTTGATACAATTTATTTTGTCAATTTGTTTTTATGTTGCTTACTCATGTAATATTTTCAATGAACGGTAATAGGATTTCATCGCTTTTAAAAAAGCACTTAATATATGCGAGAGAGCTTTTGCTGTACACATTCATTTATCAATAGTTCTTTAGCCAATGCAAATAATCCAAATAAATGCATGGTAAATTTGTAATTTCTAGAGTGCTGGGTTACTCATATTCCTTGTATATTTTACAGCTATCAATTTTAATAATATCTCAAATATGGTAATGAAAAAGGTGGCATAGTTATTCTCAACATTATTGGAACTCAAAATAACACAAAGCACTAATCAGACGCTTGCTTTACTTTTGACTAAAAAACTTGGAACAAATTTAACTAGGTGATAAGCTATCAATTTAGGACATTCTACCATAAAATGAAAAGAGATAACAAAAGTCATAATAATAAAATTATATTAAGAAATCGTAATTATAATCAACAGAAACATTTTGATTTTTGTCATTGGATGGGTAATAACCAAAATCATGATAGAAATCTAGTATAAAAGTACAATTTCCAGGCAATTCAATATATTCTTTCAGTTAACTAGCAGACATACGGTCCCAAAAGGGGAAATTTTAGTGCAAAGATGCTTACCATCATATCGGGTAGCGGCATTTTGATTTTTGTCAGCATGATTTCAGTGTTATTAGCCCGTTTTAAATCAATCTGAACAAACAAATTGTGAATAAATTAGCAAAATGCTTATGTAAGAATTAGTAGTTCCATATGATGGTTTAAATGAGATTTTTGATTGATTTTGTCAATCATTTGAAGAAAGTTTATGATAAAAAAAAAAAGATCTCTGATTCAGTTCAAATAAGCAGGCGTAATACGGTTTCCTTTACAGAGCTAATCACTACCACACTAAAAAGATTTTGAAAAATTGGAAAATTCTCAATCTTTAATCTGGATTTCTTAAACTTGGTATATTTCACCCTTAGCAGTACAGTAAAAACCAAATTAATAAGTGCGACAAAGATGTTCCAGTCAAATAAGTACAATGAAAAATAATGTACAGAGTCAAGTGCAATTACGCTTATTACGCATACAAAGCACGTTGAAGGTTTCATGCATAATGAGTCATGTAGAACAATTTGCTGGATCAACATGTAACAACTGCGGCATTAATTTAATAAAATCCTTCTTCTCAACTATCCTCATGCAACAAGTTGTCTTTACTCTTTATAAGTGTGAGTATCTAGTAAAACCAAATTAACCAACTAAATAATAATTTGTTAACAAACTAAAGTTACTGTTGGATGGTTAAAATGGAGAAGTGCAACATGGGTGTTATACAATAAGAAGGTACCTTAGAGACTTAAAGATAAATTTCATAAGATTGTAATTAGGCAAGTAGTTTTATACTTTTATATTGATCCAAATATTGGGTGATAATTGCAATTAGGAAAGCAATATTTCATCCATATTCTAGGTAATAAGGATAAGAACGATCACAACCTTAATTTGAGATTGTTTTTCTTTATATATAATATGACTACTTGGATGGACTTTTAGATCATTGGCAAATTATGATGGTTCTTTTCTTCCTTTTTTATCCAAGATATGCATGAAGATTGCTCTAAGTTGTGTATCTCAAGAAATTATCTTATCCTTTTCCCTCTAGTAATTTGCTCAACATCAATTGGTATCAAATGTCTACATCAATTTGCTATTAGAGTAACTATCATCTGCATCAAACTGATATTAGAACAAGAAGTGATGATTTCTTTGTGTCCTTTTTTTTACCTTATCCTTGAAAATTTCATGCCCCTGTACTTGATTATCTTAGTTCCCTAACTCATAATTTTTTGAGATTAAAAATTTAGCATAATGAGATTACGAAATCACAAAATATTAGATTGTGGGAGAGAATCTATCATCTATATCAATTTGGTATAAGAGCAGCAATCTTCCCGCCCTAATCCCTTTTATAACATTTGTTGAACTTTGTAATGTAATCTTTTCAAATCATTTAACCACCTTATAATCCAACATCTAGGAAATCCCTTTACATCCCTCTTTGCTCACTCATGATCTTATATCCCATGAACATGCAATCTTATTACATTAAATTTACAATCTTGAATGGTTATCTCAATCGACTATGGGTCTAGTTGAGGCAACTTTTTTCATTGCTTTCCTTTTTAGACTAGCACCACATTTTTATTTTGCTATTGCTTTCCTATCACTTTTCAAAAAAATCTATGATAGAAAATTACTTTTCACACCTTCGTGAAAAGTTGCAGCGTCCCTAAGAGAATCATTCATATATTATCCCAAAATCTAGTAACATAAAATATCTCATCTAGTTGTTACTTCACATAGCTCCTATCATCAGCCACCTACATCCAGCGGTGCTTGCTCTTAACTTCCTTGACCACATCGTGTGACTCCTATGATTCCTTATGTGAACCCAACGTATAACTCAGGCGCATCTCTTGGTCAAAAACCCTTGACTTTCTATGTTATAAATTACTAGCTAGAAATTTCAACTATGGCCTTCAAACTCCAAGGCATCCTATGACCTTCCTTACCAATTATAACCACCAGCCATCAAGGGACAAACTCCTCACATTTTTCTCTCTATCTCACTCTTCAATCTTAAACCTAACATCCAGACTCATTGAACAACTAAATGGAGAAGATTCTACCATAGAACTCTCTTCAAGAACCCAAATCTTCAACCCACAGTCGGGGAAAACCACCAAGATTTCTTATCATAGTCAACAATAAATACTTAAACATGTCTATTCACCACCAATTTCTCTCTGCCTCGCAAATTTCAATATTGCCATATCATTATAATTTATAAATAAAAGATATTAGCATATTATGAAGTCTATCCTAATTATTCTAATTTTCACCCTCATATACTATTCTTGGGGCTGTCAATCTTTTAGATATAATTACGCATACACATATAATAATGACTATGATTCTTATTATTGTACTAAGATTCATACGTTGTCTATGATTATACTAATTGTTGTCATTCTAGATCATATATAATCTTTTGATATTTAAGCATGTTATGATCCATCTTCTCGTCGTCATTAAAGATTATAAAAGGCATCTCTTGCAAAATCCTTTGGTGATACTCTTAGATTTACATCTTCAAAGAAATTTCTTCCCTATAGTCTCATACAATCTATTCTACAAGTTCTACATGCTTGTTTGACCCACACAAATTTTAGAACATTTTCCAAATCAGCATAAAAAATCATAAATTCATGATATGTCCCTCTAAAATGGTGGTATTTATGAAGATATTTGTGATAACAAATATTATTAATGATGAAATGGGCCTTAGGAGTAATTGATTTTCAACAACCTTCGTCTATTATTGTTTGAGGTTGTGTTGGAAATGCTATCAAAAGTTAAGTCAAAGCTTATACTGAATGAAATGCTTAAGCCTAAGAGTGTTATTGAGCATGAGAGAATGTTTCTGTCTATTAATTATAGCATTGAGATATTTGTACATGTAACACCTACGATTTATCTTTTCCAAATTCATGTGATTATTGTTTCATTGTGTTAATGCTAGGGCATTCTCTGGAAGCGACGCGCTGTATGGCCTGAATACAACAAGAAGTGTGCAAGGGCCGCTTCATCGGTGCCCGGGTGCAGTGTTAAATAGGCAAGGGTTCTCACATTTTGGACGGAAGTGGGAAAAGAAGCTAGTCCATGCAAATAGAATTCATATAGGATCTTGGAATGTAGGTTCTCTTACAGGCAAATTAATGGAATTAATTGATATTATGATTCATATGAAGAAATATTTAATTATTTATACATTCAGGAAAATAAATGGGTTGGAGAGAAGGCTAAGGAGATTGATAGTTTATGATTTAAACTTTAGTATTTTGGTAGTAATCATATTATAAATGGTATATGTGTGATTATGCATAAGATTTTGAAGGATAATATTATAAAAATTAATGGAATTAGAAACAATATTATAGCTTTGAAGATTGTTCTTGATGCTAAGATAATTAATATTATAAGTACTTATGCTCCTTAAGTAGGTTTGTGTGAAAGCCAGTTTTCTTGTTTTTCCTTCCAGGATCGTTCAGGACGAAGTGGGATCGTCCTGGGACGATCAGTACAGGATCTGTGAACTGGGAGGTTCGTCTCAGGACGAAATTTGGTTCGTCCGTACGAAGGTTGTCCAGAGAGCAAGTCGTCCAAGAACGAATACACTTCGTTTGAACGAAGCTTGTCCAGAAGGCAAATCGTCCCGGGACGAATAGGATTCGTCCCGTACGATCTGCATGTGTATATATTGGATTGAGATATTTTTGAAGAGAGAGAAAGCCCAGGAGAGAAAAATGAAGGAAAAAGGAGAAAAAGTGATTTTTGGACGACTTCGGTCCGTTTTCGTCCTTCACCGTAGTTGGGAAAGTTGCTCGACTCGAGCTAAAGCACATTATGCCTTTCTCTATTTTCAGAAATGTGAATTTTGACGACTTTTCTGTTTCAAATTCGATTTCCGTTAGCGAAAATCTGGTATCATTTTGTTCTGGTAAACTTTTTACCGCTTAACTTTTGATATGTTTCTGAGACGATGTTTTTATATGTTTTGAGCATTTTCTGGAAGATTTTCACCAGGTATTTTGAATTCTACGGAGTTTTTATCGAATAGCGAATTATTTGGATGTTGAAAATATTTGTTTCAGTACAATGAAAGTCTTGAAATGATATTTTCTGCTATCTGTGATAATTTGGTAAATTTCTGAAATTGTGAATTCTGTTAAATTTCCATATATTACCGTTATGCCGCTGACGATTTTTCTGATGTAATCCGATTTTTTTGATTTGATTTTTTTGAGGTGATGTGATATCAGAAGGGAGTTATAAGGGGTCGGAATCCTTTGCGATTCCGTTGTCTGGGTCAGGGAATCTGAAAATAAATTCTGATCTAAAAATTATGTATATCTGACAAGTTCTGGTGCTGTAAGCACAAGGGAGGCATAAGGGGCCAGAATCCGTTGAGATTCTGTCTGTGTCAGAGAAGGGAGACATAAGGGGCCAGAATCCGTTGAGATTCTGTCAGGGTCCGGGAATCTGATGTGTTATCTGATATATGAAATATGATTTTATCTGATTTGAAATCTGATTTGTATGATTCTGTCTGTTCTGTACGATTCTGTTTGTTTTGTACGATTCCGTCTGTTCTGTGAAATATGACTTGAATATTCTGTTATATGAAATGAATTTTGTTTATGGTTTGATTTCTGTTTGATCAAGTATCTGTATTCTGTCTGCTTATACGATTTCTACACGATTATCTGAATTCTGTACGGCTACTCTTCTGATGTATTTTCTGATGTGTGTTTCTGGAGATTTTGATTGGCTAGTGTAGTCTTGTTGAGCTGTTAGCTCATCCTTGTTATCTGCGTGATTTTCAGGTTCTGGGAAAGGGAATGAAGTCTTGGACTAGCCATTCAGTGTCTGATCTGAGATTAGGTATTTTGTACTTTTGATTTTTGTATAGTCATGACTTTTCTGTTTTGTTCTGTTCTTTCTGTCTGTAGCCATGCACTGTATTGTATATGATTATTTTGATGAAAGGAGAAAATATAGATGAACTGTTATGTATATTTAGATGTTTATAGTAGAGCTGTGTTTTTTGTATGTCTGAGATTTGGAAGAAAGTCTGAAGCATATTCCAAAGCTAGATCCTGAATGTTTTCTTCGTCACGACCCGATGCGATGGGATTCGTTCCGGTCAGGTTGGGTCGTGACAAACTTTAGTGGTATCAGAGCAATAGTTTTAGAATTTGGATTGTAAGACAGAGCTATAGGAATTGATCTATAAGTCTGTCGGGAACCTTCTGTAGTCCCTCTAGTAAAATTTTTTCTCAATTAACCTATATGATTTGTCCTTAAATCATATTAAAATTTTCAATTTTATAGCACTCAAATTAATTATCAATAACTTTTTTACATTGTTGGGTTCAAAACTTCGAATTCCCCAAAGTCGAAGCCCCTCGCACTCGAATCGGTCGCAATCGGTCAAAATTGGAGAGTGACATCCGAGAACGAAGCGCAACATCAACCAAACAACGTTCGATTGCAAAACGGACTTCGTCGTTGCGTTCGGAATGTCATCAATACTCAAAAGTGACTATAAATTTGTTTAAATAAATTCGTGCAATGAGATCGGCGCGAGTCCTGAGATAACGACGCGCGACGTTGTCCGAACGACGTCCGATTGCAAAACGGATTGGGTCGTTGTGTTCGGAATGTCCAAATCATCTAAAAGGGACTATAAATTTTCTCAAAGAAAATCATGCGCGTAAATATTTTTATTCGTGGTAATGGTTTGGCTCTAGAGGGCTTAAATTAAGTGCTTCCTGTTTTTACTGGGTCAATGATAAGAAAATGTGGCTTTTCATATTTGGAAGACTAATCACATAATTATGTTGCATGTTGTTACTATTGACTGTGATAGGAGGTAACGAGCTGCACATGATTTGTATGTGTTTGAATCCTTTTGGATAGATCAAATGATAGTATTGCGCATGGGTTAATATAAGTAGTTTCTAATCGCATCTCCTTGATCCGTGCCATTAAAGAATTGGCTAGAGTCAACAACAATTGACAGCCCTTGTTTTGTGGCTAATGTGATAGGACTTAAGATTTATGTTTTTGATGCAGTCAAGGCATCCAACTTTACATTTTCTTGTGTGACTTATCATTTTCCTTGTTGTTTGCTGAATTTCCCTACCATTTGCTGAAAATTCCTACTATTTTTATGAAAATTCCTGCTGCCTTCTCGTATTCCGGCTGTTGTTTGGTCTTCCCAAAGTGGTTGTTTGGTCTTTCCAAAGTGGTTGTTTGGTCTTCCTCATGTTGGACTTTGGTTTTCCCTCTTGGCTCTTCGTTTTCCCCTATTCCCCTTCGGTTTCCTTGCTGTCTTTATTGATGGCTGCTTGTTTTCCCTCTTGTGGCTACTCGGTTTCCCCATTTGTTGAAACCTATGTTGGATGCTTTAATTCCTAATTAATTGGACTGAATTGGAAGAGTTTTGTGGCTGATTTGGAAGGCTTCTATTGACTATTTGGGTAGCAAATTTATGTGAGCATTTAATATCCTTTCCCCTTCTTTTTCTATATAAGGTGGTTGATTTCTTTATGAAAAAGGTGTGAGATATGTAATGATTTTTGGAACAAAACCTGAGGGTTTTTATAGCTTGCGAGCTGTTATCTTCTACTCTATCTTCTAAAATTTCGTCTCGGTTTTTTAACCCCTTCTTCTTTATCCATGGTTCCCGTCCCATCCGTATCTTTCTTCTCTTAAATTTTTTGTAAGTTAAAAGTTTAGTTGAGTCGGTGTGTCAAGTTTAGTATTTATCTATGAAAAGTATCTTTAAGTTGTAATTTTTGCTTTTTATATTTATGTTATAAGAAAGTAAGATTTGACTCTTTGCAATCATAATTTTTGGTTGCATCAGTTTCTTGTGGGTCTCTTTATAAATTTATATATAATGTCTTATTCAACTTTTTGTTAAGTGAGGATTACTTAGTGAAGGTATGGTATGAGGAAGATTCAAGAGAATAATCTTATGCATAGTCATGAAGGAGATCAGTAATAAGTATGAAAATATGAGAGAGAGAGAGAGAGAGAGAGAGCTGAGAGGACTGGCATGGGATTGATGGTGCAAGTCATTGTGAGTGGAGCAAAAGATAAGCTGGAAGGGAATGAGCCTCAGGGATATCTTGGAGAGAGGAGAGAGACAAGAGAGAGGGTGAATAATGAGTGGGAGAAAATAGTATTTCGAGGTATATTGTGCACAGGAAAAATATCGAAAGTCATGTCTTGGGGACGATATATGCGATGTACTAGAGGTCTGAGTTTGGGCGTGTAGCTTTTAGGGCTATAAGTGTGACGTATCAGGTTGTAATTAGACGTTAAGTGGCGTTAAACAATAAGAAGAAATCAAGCTTGAAAAGGAAACCTAAAATCATGAAGTATGATGAATTGAACGCTACTTGCATGAAGATCACCCCCTTATGGAACAATCAGCTGAAAATCAAGCAAGAAAACACAATGGAAGGCTGGATTTCAATTCCACGATTGCATGGTTGGTCACCTTCGTCAATTGGCAAGATTGACAGGTTCCAAAACATTCAAAATCAGTCCTTAATCAAATCCAATCGAATCTTGGATGATCCCTCGTTCAAAACAGTGAAAGGATTTTCAAATAACGAATGCCACTCTGCTTCCAAATAGCGATTGTTGAAATTTAGCTTTATTAATATTGTATTTTTCTCTTTTGTTTCATTACACCGATAAATGCTTAGTAGGCCACTATAGCTCTTGGAGGGAAGTTTTGTATGCATTTTCTCTTTTTTCACAGCTCTTCATGTATTATTTATAATTCATGATTTAATAAAAAAATAGTTTTTGATCTCTTGCAAAACTTGTATAGTAAAGGTGTAGCCGTTCTGCCATCTTTTGGATTGATTTGTCAATTAAGCACAATTAAGATTTGTAAATCCTAACATATATTTCTTCCCCTCTCTAAACATGTTCTTCTATATCTTCGCACACCAAAGCCTTAAATTACTCCAGCCTTAGGAAAATCGTGCCATACTTCTTCCACAAATGCCTAACTTCTACTATCCACATGTTGGGATTAGTCTATATAAGAAATTCATAAATTTGTACAGCATATTCAATTAACTTAAAATCACTTCCGATAGTTAGGTAATATCCCAAACCTCTGATAGCTCCTCAACCCCTTCCATCAAAGATAACCTGGCAATCCACAACAAGAATTCCTCAACCAAAAATCCAATCAGAAATCCTAAACTAGTTGACATTTTTCCCTTGCTTTCCTCTTGATTTCCTTTTTTCACATCATAATATTAGTGTAATTTCCCCAGTGTTTTTTATTTTTTGTTTTCCACGTACTTTCTTGCAAACATGCACTATTAATGTTAGACATAATATTATTAATGTTAGACATAATATAATTTATGTTGTGAATGTGAAAATTCATAATACTGAAAGAAAAGAGAAAATAGAAAAGAAAATAGTTTTAAGGTGTCTTTGCTTTCTTTTTAATTCCTTGAGAAGAAAGACTATCATGTAACGAACATTTACCAAGTGAACTTTATCAGATTTAGTAGCAGATTTGCCGCGTCCTTGAGATTTAGTAACAGCTGCTGAGAAAAGTGTCTCAAGCTCGGAAACATCAAATTCTGGCGTGCTGCAAAAAGTACCAAATAATTAATAGTACAGAAAAATAAGATAATAAAAGAAAATATATGAAATTGCAGAAGTGTAGTACAAAGTTCTTAACATGCTTTTTACCACGATTATGCATCATAAAAGCTTTTTTTTACATGATCAAAAGTAAAAAAGTTATTGATAATTAATTTGAGTGCTATAAAATTGAAAATTTTAATATGATTTAAGTACAAATCATATAGGTTAATTGAGGAAAATTTTTACTAGAGGGACTACAGAACTAGTATCTATTTAAGATGAAGTAGTGAAAAAGAGACTTTGTAGTTTGGATATAAATAAAGAGTAGAAAATGCCTTCATGAATGGAACAAAAAACTAGTGTCCGATTTGGAAGGAAAAGTAGCGAACATGGACATAAGTTGTTTAAAAAGATTCGCGCATAATAAATTTGCCACCTCATCCAAAAATCAATAGAAATGACTAGAAAATGAGAATTCATAAAGATAAATTCAAATAGTTGAGATAAGACTAGTGAAGATGATGTTTAAATGGAGGATAATTTTGACATGTTAATGCTTGCATTATTTAACTAAAATTGCATGCGATATAAGAAAAATAAATAAAATAAGATATTCATTACACCTGTAGACATCAACATGCTTTTGTAATTCTGCCCACAGACTTCCTTGCATAGCTCTTGATACTTTCACCCAATGCAATGGCTTTAATGATGACTTCTTTACTGCTGCAGGACTAGCCGAACCTGCAAGTCCATGTCCTTTTCCCTCTGCCATTGAATGTAATGCTGGTGGTCCTCTTAAACCAGAGCCTGGAGGTGGCGGAGGAGCACCTGGAGTCCTTGGAAGCAATGGAGGCAATGGTACACTTCCTCCAGAGGGAGGCTGTGGTAATCGAGTTTCACCACCACGTGCAGCAGGTGGAGGTGGAGGAGGAGGAGCTCCACTATGTCCTCCAATAATTTGCAATGTTGAAGAAGCTCCCCTAGATCCACCAGGTAAAGGTGGGGGTGGTGGAGGAGTTCCATGTTTTCCTGGCAAAGGAGGTGGTGGTGGAGCCCTTCCAGGTCCTCCTGGGAGTGGATGTGGTGGCAGTGCTCCCCTAGGAGCTCCAAGCACTGGAGGTGATGTCAATGTTCCCCTAGGAGCTCCAATAAGTGATGATGGTGTAGCTTCATTAATAATTGGAGGAGGGGGTGGGGGTGGTGGAACTCCCCTAGTAGCTGGAGGAGGGGGTGGTGGAGCTCCACTAATAGTTGGAAATGGGGGTGGTAACGGAGCACCGCTAATGGATGTAGGGGGCAGTGATGGCAGCAATGGTGAAACTCCGCTAGTAGTTAGAGAATGACGTGGAGCACCAATTGTAGTGGGAGGAGGTGGTGGTATCGGTGGTGGTGGTGGTGGTGGTGGAGCAGCATTAGTAGCTAAAGGAGGTGGTGGCGGAGGAGGAGCTTTTGTAGTAGTTAGAGGAGGGGGTGGTGGTGGCGGTGGACATCTACTAGTAGTTGGAGGAGGTGGTGGTGGTGGAGCCACACTATAATTCAGTGGAGAGAGTTGTAGGGGCGATTCTGTAAGTCTGCCTGTTAGAGGTAGAGGTATAAGAGGTGGTGCTCGAACTCCAAAATTTGGAGGGGCTGGAGGCGGTGGTGGTGGTGGTGGAGACTTTATATGAGAAGTTTGACATTTATCTTCTGCAAAGCCCCAAGATGAAGTTTGTGGCGAATTGGAAGGTCTTCTGCACCCTTCAAGGAAAGGTAAATATGTCTCTCCAAGGAGAGGGGGTGGTGGTGAAGTTAATGGTGGATTTGCTCCATGGGAAGGGCATGGAGTTGCAGATCCTGGAGACGTAGGAGGAAGAGGAGTTGCCAGGACTGTTGGTGCAACTGAAGCTTTGCATGGAGTTGGGGTTAGTTTTAGAGCCATTCCATTAGGCAGAGGTGGATATGGTGGTGGAGTTGGAGAATTTGCTGGAGGTAGAGCACTTGAAGGAGCTGTAAACTCTGGTGGAGGAACTGAATTTACGGGTAGAGATTCTCCAACAGGAGGGGTAATGGGTTTGAATGGAGATGAAGCATGTCTTTGAGGAGGAGGAGGAGGAGGAGGAGGAAGAGGAGGTGGAGGAGAATGAGGCAGTGGTGGAGCAGTAGATGGACCTCCAAGAGATGCTGGAAGTCCCTGGGACAAAAGATCTGCAGAACTTGGAGTAGAAGTTTCAACACTAGTAAGGTTTGCTATATTTGATGATACCAAGGGTTGAAATGGTGGAGACGTTGCTCCATGACCTTCAGAAATAATTTCTTGCTGTAGAGGCGGTGATAAAGGTGGGTGAGAAGTGAGAAAGGGAAACTCACCTTTCTTAACAATATTCGGAGAAGGTGTAGGAGGTATTGTTAAAAGGTCATTTATAGCACGTTTAACATTGATTGGAGGCAAGGGAGGTAGGTAAGATGCAAGTAATTCAAGAGCACTTTGTTTTTTCCTGAAAGGGGGTGTTGGAGGAGGAGGAGGTGGTGGTGATGGAGCTTGGCATATTCCTCCTCCATTTGGAAGTAAGAAAGAAGAGAGCAGACCATTGGAACTGTTATGTATGAGATCTGGATAAGAGGATGAATAGATTGATGAGCATGAAGGGTTTGGGGTTGGAGGTGGGGTTGCAATTGAGGGTGGAGGCGTTGAAGGTGGAGGTGGAGGTGGATGAGGGGTTGAAGGTGGTGGTGGAGGTGGGGAAGGAGGTGGAGGGATTGGGGGTGCTGAGCATGGCTGTGGCGATGGAGGAGATGCAGGAGCTATCCTGTTAGTTGGAAACTCAGAAAGGAAGGATGTGGGATGCGGGGAGAGAGGCGGTGAGAATGGTGCTGGTGCGGGTGACAATGTAGGAGGTTCCGTAACATGTACTGATGACTGAGGTGGGGAAGGTATGATATTAATTAGAGCAGTAGAAAGCAAAGGTGAGGTAATGAAAGGAGTAGCAGAATCAGGAGGTATAGAAGAAGCTAGTGGAAAAAGAGGAAGTGATGATGATGGTGGATTTAGAGGAGGTGGAGATGGTGGAGTTATGCTTTTGGCTAGAGCAGTTGAGTGAAAAGTTGGAGGATAGGGAGGTGGTGGGGGAGGGTTTCGGATAGGTGAAGGGGAAATTGAAACATGCTCTTCCCTGAATTTCAGAGTTGAAAGAGATAACTGTGGAGTTGGTGGTGGGGGTGGAGGGGGTGGGCAAGGGGTTGTAGAAGTTATGCCAATGACGGGAGCAGCTGTAAGCAAGGATTCGGAATATGCAGGGACTTTGTGAGGGAGTGGGTGCTGATATAACGATGATATTTCTCTCCCATTATGGGGTGACCAAGGTGGAAGAGGAGGTGGGCTTGGAGGTTTGTAAAGACCTGGGACTTGAGGAGCCATGCCTTTGACTGGAGAAGAAGAATGGAAGGGTTGTGCTTGAGGGGTCGAAGGAGTAGCAGTAGTAGATGAAAGAGGTCCTAAATATAACGATGGAGTTTGTGCAGTTAGTAAAGTAGGAGAGTTATTTTCAGAAACGGCATCTGGTAAAGTAGGAGAAGAAATGGTTTCAAGTGGAAGGGTGCAAGTAGCATTTAAGTGATGTGTTTGTAATGACTGAGAAGAGGAATGGGGTGAACTCTGTGTAGAGGTGGCAGAAGATGGGCAAGCCTTCGTGAAAGATGGTGGCAAAGGTAATATTACTGTTGATTCTGTAGCAACATTTGGTGACTCTGTGGATTCAACTTCTTGCAAAAATCTGGAGGTTCGTAAAGAAGGTAGCAAGCTGTTAAGCATGAGTGAAGGAGATGGCAGGCGGATCACATTCGCATTAGAATATTTGTTGGCAGATTCCTTAGAAGATATTGTTTGTGATTCCTCATGTTTGGCATGATTGTCAATCAATTTCTGTTGTTCCCCCTGTTGCACCGTTATAACTGAATCAGAAGGCATATCCACTGTGCAATTTGGTTCGTCTTGTCCAATAGTGAGAAGCTGTTCCTGAAGCTTTTCTCTACAGGCACCAACCAATGAATTTTCACAAAGAACCTCAAGCAACTCCTTAGGCTGGGTGACAACATCATCTATTTGGAAATCACGAGCTTTGCTATTAATCTCATCAATTTCTGACCTCCCGGAATGAGTAGGCTCGCTACAACGGATTAAGTTTATTGCAGGAAAATCAGCACTAACATCCTTTTTGATATTTTCATCTTCCAAAGCACTTTCACCAAGCAAAAATGGAGTTTCCCAACTCTCAGTCATCTCACCTGAAGCAATTGGCATAGTGCCCTTCAAGCCCTGTCTCAAACTATGGGATTCTAAGGAGGTCATTCCTTGAACGTCTGAATTAAGAGTCTCCTCTGCGTCCTTTCTGAAATCAGTCATGCTAGAGGTCCTAGAGTCAGGAACATTTTCATCAAAAACAGATCCCATTTCTATAAACTCCTTATCTAGAACCTTTTTAAAAACTTCATTTACTCCACAGTCCTCCAATTTATCTGTAGACACAGTTTCTAACCTGCTACTTCCATCACCTACTACACTTGAATCAATTAAGCCTAAAGAATTGGCGTCTGTAAGGCACTCTGCTTCCTGATTCAAGTAACCAACAAACGGTGAAATCATCCCTTCATTTACAAGAGAAACATTTTTTTTAACTTCTTGTATGAGGTCAAACATTTTAGGAGTTCTAAATATAGGACTACCATCATGAAATGATTGTTCCTCGGTGTCGTCATCGTCAGCATGATAATTGGAAGGTTTGATTTCTAGGTTGTTCTTATCTTTATCCAGTGATGAAGTGATACAATTGATACTGCAATCTTTTCCAGAATCATCTAAGATAGAAATTTCTTGGGCCTTATCAGTCTTAAGGTTCCATGCTTTACCATATTCCAGTTTACGACTGAGTAGACCTTCCCATTTTGAAATTTCAGATGGAGTGCTATCATTTAGAACAGTTCGAACTGTACGAATATCTGAATCTCTAGATCCGTCTTGCAAATCAGCATTGCTAAAGATCTCTTCTGCTTCAAAAAATTCTTCCGCTTCCAATTCATCTTCATCTACCGCTGCAACTCTCCGGTGGTTGTCAGAATCCTTGTCATATTCTGAAAACAGTACCTGGTTCAGGCATCAATGTACATTCAACATCCTGAGTATCAGAGATAAACACTAGAATGAAAGTGAAACTAACAACCAGGAGTGGATCCAGATTCTTTTTTCAAGGTGACAATTTTTTTTTTTGTGGCGGTTGGGCAAAAACGTTTAGAATTGATAAAATTAGGACAAAAAGATTTTTGAGGGGGAGGCCAAAATACTCAAAATATTTCAAAATATTCCCTCTAAATATTTAATTTTTTTTTGGGATCCGCCCATGCTAACAACTACCTCTGCTTTGAAGTCTCTTGAGAATCGATCTCCAATACCCCACATGATGTCTATCTCATCCTTACTCAGCAACAGAGCATTTTGTTGAATAAATGCAGTGTTGAATGTAATTCTAAACATCATCTCCTCATGTTCCAGATCCTCAGCCAAATGTGTACATTCAAGGACAACATCTCCTTGAATGCCACAATGAACATCAATCACGGTCGGTGTGCTATCTGCCTGCAATCAAGGTTCAGTTTGATTCATATAAATATGAAATTTAGTACATTCTAAATTAGAAGATTAGACCCTACCTGTCTGACATGTCGAACTTGTTCTGTCACATTTGATGTTGAGAAAAGAACCCTAGAGCTACTACTATCAATCATGCTCGAAGGGTCTCGACCATAGACACGAACAATTGGCCTACATCCCCCAGCACCATCAAAGTCTGGAATAACTCTAAGAATAAGGGAATTCAAAATGAATGGCACTGGGGAGGGAGGCCACTCTAAATTGTTTCCTTGTGTGGTGATATAGTGAAGATATCTCAAATGAGAAGATAGTGGATTTATTGGAGATAAAAGGCTCAAGAGCTCCTTAGGGGCCTGCTTATACATCATTTCCAGTGTCCTTTCCTCTCCATTATACTGATTGCTGTAGAGCAAAAGAGATGCAAGCATGAAAGCGAGAACAGGCCAACCTCCTCTTTCACAGTGCATCAGAAGAACATTCTGATGCCCCCCAGATGATAACCACTTTTCACAAGACCTTAAAAATTGGTAAATCATTCCCAAGGGAAGTAGAGGACATCCGTGGTATCCGTCAGGATACTCTATGACACTGATATTGTAGTAGGCAAGAATTTCCATAAACGGGGTTCTAGCTTCACTCTTTTTGAAATTAAACGCCATGATAGAAGCTTCAGGAAAACTGGTCTGTAACTGCGAAACAATATTAACCATGTAATTCTTGTACTCGTCTTCTTCCAAAATGGCGGATGAAAAACAGCAGTCAAACACTGCAAGCAAAGAACAAAATCCCAAGTTGAATAAGGAAGCAAGAGCTCTAAGTCAAATTATGAGCAACGAGCAATGCACGAGTTGCAAGGGCTTCTGCAAATGTTATGGGAAAAGAAAAAAAAAAATGCAAGGGAGCGAAATCCCGCCTATCTCCTACAAGCTAACTCAATCGCACAGGACCGAACCTCTTCTTCTGCACCAAAATGCCAAGCATTGCTCCTTAGTTTTTCATTAATATAATACAATCTTTCCTTCTAATTATATTAAGGAAAATCTGGAGCTAATCAAAAGAGAAAGAAATTGGCAGAAGAATTCGAAGCCATATCAGCGTAGGAGAGAATAACGAAAGAATAAGAGCGTTACCGTAGACTCTGTCGCTGATCTCCAATAGCCGATCCGGCGGTTTCTTGTAGAACAGTTTCCTGAAGAGCGCCATCCGACGATGACGCCACAGTCATCCGTCGCTCCTCCGCCAAGATCTAAACCCTAAATTTTCCGCGAGATCCTATCAAATCGATCAAAATGCCGGTGACAGGCGAACGTCGGAAGGGAAAATGTTCCTCCATTTTATTTCCATTTTTGTTCCGCGAAAGGTGAGGAGGAAAAGACGAGGCGACGAGCAGGAGAGGCAAAAAATAGAGAGCCGAAAGGTCTGAATGCACCGGCTCAGCTGGTTCGAATCGGCAGTTATTTTGGGACCCACCGAACTTTTTCCCGCTGCATAACCAATTCATAACGATTTGTTGCTATTATTATTATTTTATTTAAATGACGAGGAATAAATAATAAAATAAAGTGCATAAGTATATAAATTTAAATATATAATTATTATTTAACTAAAGAGATTTTTATTAATATTTTTAATGACAATTTAGCAAATATAATTTAAGTATATTCAATAAAAAAATCCCAAATAAAAAATAACCCTATATATGTGCAAATATTTAATAGAATTTAAGGTGAATAATCTCTTATCTTAATTAACATGATTGCCTTTCTTCATCAACTTCGAATTTATTTACACGAGTTTTGATTTATGTTCAAAGAATAGTATTGTTGCATCCTGGAGTATTAGTGGCGGTAGAGAAATATATAGTTTAACATCTTAACGTTGTATGAAGATTCAACACACAATCAGATAAGAGAGAGGGTGTGGCGTTCATAAGAGACACCATAGTTTTTACGTGGAAACCCCTAAAAAGGGGGAAAAACCACGGGGCTTGGCCCAATTTGAATGAATCCACTAGAATTTGCAGTCGATTACAAATGAGACCCTTCCTTGGGAGAAGGCCTTGGCTTGTAGGTGATGGAGGTCGAAAGGATCGGGGTCAGAAAGATTGTTGTCAGGTGATGGAGGTCGAAAGGATCATAGTAGGTGACGGAGGTCAGAAGGATCGTAGTCGGCAGGAGACATGGGTCCAAAAGATCATAGTAGTAGGGCAATACTTTGATAGAACTCCAAGCATCAAGCAGTGGTTCGGGCCTCAAGTGGTGGTCCGGCAGAAGTCCAGGCCTCATGTGGTGGTCCGATAGAAGTTCAGGCATCACGCGGTGGTATGGGAGAAGTCCGGGCCTTAAGATGTGGTCCGGTAGAACCCAGGGCCTCAAGTGGTGGTCCGACAGAGCTCAGGGCCTCAGGTGGAGGTTCGACTGAGCAACGACATCAGGCGGTGATCCTATAGAGGTGATGGCTTTAAGTGGTGGTCAGACGGAGCTCAGGGTCTCAAGTGGTGGTCCGGCGGAGCTCAGGGCCTCAAGTGGTGGACTGGTTGAGCTCAGAGCCTCAAGTGGTGGTCAGACGGAGCAACGACCTCAGGTGGTGGTCCAGTGGAGGTGAGGGCCTCCAGTGGTGTTTAAGCGGAGCAACGACGTCAGACGGTGGCCCAGCGGAGGTGAGGGCCTCAATGTGGTGGTCAGACGGAGCTCAGGACCTCAAGTGGTGGTCCGGCGGAGCTCAGGGCCTCAGGTGGTGGTTCGACGAAGCAACGACATTAGACAGTGGTCCGGTGGAGGTGAGGGCCTCAAGTGGTGGTCCGGCGGAGCTCATGGACTCAAGTGGTGGTCCGGCGGAGCTCATGGACTCAAGTGGTGGTCCGGCTGAGCTCAGGGTCTCCAGTGGTGGTCCGGCAGAGCAACGACGTCAGGCGGTGGTCCGACGGAGGTGAGGGCCTCCAATGGTGGTTAAGTGGAGTAACGACGTCAGGTGGTGGTCCGGCGAAGATGAGGGCCTCATGTGGTGGTCAGACGGAGTAATGACGTCAGGTGGTGGTCCGGCGGAACTCAGGCGGTGGTCGAGGAGGAGCGAGGAGGCAAGAACGATCTCCAATCTCTCTCTTGCTCTCTTTCTTGGAGCCTTACTTTTCAAGAGAAATGAGGGATCTATTTATAGATTTCTAAAGTAGCATGACCCATAAATAGGTGAGAGATTAATGGTAAATGGGGAGTGGTTGGATGGACGACCGATGTTGAATCCTTGATCGTGGACCGTTCATCAGACATTTAAAGGTCTTAGTGATGTTGGAATTCGATGATCTTGGGTTTGTTGGATTCGTCTCGTCGAGCTGCTTGATTCGACTATAAGCACGTAATATTTGGAAACTGTTTGGTAATCCAATTTGTGGTTTGAACCTTCCAAAAGTGCTTCGGGTTCTTGATTTGGACTCATTTGAGCTTGGATTGAGTCAAATTTGGTGTTGTTGGGTTCGTAATTCCGAGAAGTTTCGTTTGACTGTAAGTTTACTGAAATCGGAGTTCAGATGATCCCAATTTTAATTTCGGAACTTTCCAACTTGATTTTTGCATCGAGATTCGCGTCCGATCAAGATAATTTTTTGATGACGTATCAAGTACGAAAGAAAATAGAGAGAAGACATATAAGCTAGTTGCACATTTATTGAAGATTACATCAAATGGTGGATATAAATATTTCTTTTAAGATCTCATTGATTTTTATTTGCAGAGTGAATGGAGTTGAAAGAAATAGTTTAATCGAAAACTTCTAGTGATAAACCACTTTGGTGATGCAATTGAGCTGCTTATGGGTTATGATAATTTTTTCTTGGATGATATATCATTATCCATTAAAAAATCCATTATAAATTTCAACTTCAATTTGTGATCAATTTGAAATGAACAAATAGATAATATTTTTTGTTCTTCATGTACCAAAGGACTACAAGTAATCATTCAAGTTATGTGAATCATATGAATAACCATGATTTATTAGACATATAATCAAATATAACTCTATAGAATTTGATTCTTGATGAAGCCAAATGTGATCATATTAGACATGAAGAGAGCTTGCAATATTAATTTCTCCTATGAGGGGTAGGCAATATCATGAGCAAGCTATGACCTATTTAAGAAGGTCCCCTAAAGCATCCCTTTCGAAAGTAGATTCTTATTTGGTTATGCTATACAAGAAATCAAGGATAGATGTTGATCTTTGGTAAGATAGTGACGGACATTTCAAGTATAGATATATTTCTCGTGGGTGTTTTATTCAAAGATTCGAAAATATACGCTGGTCAATGTTAAGTATAGATAAATATTTTTAAACATATGTTGAGGAGTTGCTTTGCTTATGAAGTGCTGCAAGATGTCAATACTCAAATTTATCATATGGCATTTGTAATTTTGGACTCAAATTAAAAATGAATATTGTAAGAGAATATGAAACATTTCAAAATTAGATCTTGAGATTTATTTGTCACAGCTCAACACGTTAGGTTCTATTCTGATAGTATTGGATTGTGAACTTAGCTTCTAAGATATATAGAAGAGTTAACTTCCATAGACACTTAGAGTAAATACACGCCAAAAACTCAACTATAGTTTCTTACCTTGTGCATGAAGCCAGTTTTTAGCAATAAGCTCGTGTTTTCTTCCCTAGAAAGTGATATAACTTGATGACAAATAAAATTTTAGAAAGTTTCAATAATGTTACAAAGATTGCACGCTCCTATCCTATGATTACATTAATACAAATTTTTAGGCATGTAAAAATGATTTTCAATAATGTAAATCCACTCTAAAGTTCTTTAGTAGTAGGTTAAATTAGTCGAATTACTTTTTAATTTGTAATTAAATTTGTCACTTTTGCATGTTTCATTAACTCATCTTACCTTCTAAATTTTTATTTATAAAAAACTAATTAATTAAAAAAATTATAAGCACATAACTATTATAGGCATTCTTCTACCTTCTAATGCAAGAAGAAGCTTTTTTCATTATTTTTTTCAAGAGTTTAGTGTTTTTTTTTTTATATTATTCTTCATAGCCTATGATTCCTTCTAAAGAACAAGAATTATTGGCTTGTGATTATATAAAATTTTGTCAACTCTCTTGGATAGAAATATATGTATTTAATTTATTTATAAAGGGAGGGGGTCAAAATAGATCAATTTACTCCATTTCTACGGTATCTTGAGAATTATATAAATTATTTTATATTTCAACTACATAAAAAACAAATTTTTGGTGATGTTACATATCATATTATTGAATAATGTTCCACTTCTTGCCATAAAAAAGAGGTCGTGTCTGCAAATACTAAAAAATATTTATAATTTGGCATATTATGCTGACAATTATTGTTGTGTGTCAGAACGTAGGTGCTTAAATGGTGTCAAAAGTAAGCGATGTTGAGCTTGTTGGATCTTCTCATCGAACCGCTCGATTCAACTACAAGCATGCTAAATTAAGAGATCATTTGATCATATCTAATTAATGAGTCGAAGTTCTCAATTAGGCTTTTGATTTAGGCTCATTCGAGCTTGAATTTGATCATTTTTTGATATTGTTGAGTTTGTGTCATTGAGATCTTCAGCTCGACTGTAAATTTGCTGGAATTGGAGTTCGAATGATCCAGAATTTAATTTTGAAAGTTACTTGTTCAAATAAACATTGAACATTTTGTCTAATTAGAATAATTAATTAATATGCACGAGAATTTATTCTATGCAGTGGCCGGACGCAACTCTATGTCCGGAGGCGAATCAGAGGCAGCCATGTTAGCTATAGCGAGCTGCAGTACAGAGCAGTATTGAGCCGTGATACCGAGCGAATGTGAGACATGACGCATTCTAATTGATTTCCAGATGGCGTTCAGCATCCCCAGGCCCCAGCATAGAATAATTAATCTGCACACAAGAGATTTCTTTCTTAGTCTTGCTATAGTTAACAGAGCCCTACATGGGGTCCTGGTTGGGTACCCATTGGGTACCCACGCTCTACGCTGGCGGGTTTTGCCCACCCACACTCACCTACGGTGACTTTCCGGATGTCATACCCACCCACACCCACTCACTTTCCAAGCTTATTGAATGTAGTCTGCCATAGAATAATGGTCTTGAGATTTTTTGCCATTTTCTCTGACTGAAAAATTTCAAGCCACATATCAAAATTTATCATAGTCGTGACGCAGTTCAGTGTTGCGCACTGTGTAGTAAGGATT